TTTCAGTATTTTCGGTATTCATTTTAGGTATTTGGAAGTAATGAGCTGATCTATGTTATAATTGATTTTCAAAACTGATGGTGATAAAAAATCTTGTGTAACTAAAATTGAGATAATCAAATTTGGATTTGTGATATTACAGTAGAGCTAAACCCGAGGGCCCGCGTGTCATTGAGGAGGGCCGTGTTGTCCGTGGCTTCTTGTGAACTTCCATCCCATCGAACATCTCAAAAGTGCATTTATTAGTTCCTTTAAAATATTAAAATATTATTTTTTTCTTCACTCAAATCATTGAATGGCTATAGTGTAAAATATTCAAATGAAGAAGCCTTGAAACAGGCATCTTTAGATACTTTAATTCTCACTTTTCATGTGGACATTGAACCAGAGTTTCAGTTTTGTTCTCAGAGTAATCATTCATGCGGAAAAGCAATTGATTTAGTGAAGGCAAGTAGTGGAAAAATCGAATTCAATAATATCAGGATGGAATGTATTAAGTTGGGTGAAGTTCAAGTCTCATTATCATTAGTGGTAAAATCAGAGGATGAGATTTTAAGCCTTGAAATTAATGATCCATATCAGCCAAATCAAAAACACTTTCGTGAAACGTTTTGGAATGCAAGATTAAAAAGATAAGCAACGAGTATTTAGAGCCGTTAAAAAATGACAAGATACAGAATGTTTATCGTTTAGAGAGTGCATCGTTTAATCAGTAGGAAGGGATATTGTGACCTGTAGAATTTAAATACAGGATTACATCTTATTAATTATTAAAAAATCAACTTTCGCTCATAGTTCTGGCTTTATATTTTTTTTTAATCATATGGTGTGCATTGCTATTACAGAACAGTTAATGTAAATGCCAGAATAGGAATCACGATCGACAGTCAATATTGATATGTAAAGTTCACACGTGCACGTACTGTAGATCAAGTATAAATTTAAATTCAACAGTAAATCACGCGGTATAATTGGAATTTTTTTTTCACACGGAAACTCGAACTTGTCATAGTGCCATTGTTTCCACATTTGGTATAAAACAAAACCTTTCATTTTAATTTTTTTTTGTTTTCGTTTATTCAACATTTACGGTTAAATCTAACCTTATTTTTATCGAAACTATTTTTTTTTGTTTTCGTCTATTCAACATTCACAGGTAAATTAAAATAGCTAATCTAACCTTTATTTTTATCAGATACAATTAAAATGAACAATAAATATCTTCCTCTGTAAGTATTAAATTTTCCGTAAAATAATGAAATAATTTTTTAATTCTAGACATCATCTGAAAATGTGCAAACTTTACCTTCTGTCTCTGATTTCATACTTAAAAAAAAATGGTATAAAACGCCTTCAGCATATTAGCTAATACCCATGTTTATAATAGTAGCAATGATCAGTGTATTAAGTGTAGCAGTGGGAATACAAGTTTATATACGAGCAATGTGCCATAAATATTATTTCGGTTATTTCGGTTCCTATTTCATCTGTTAGTGGTAATATCGAGGAATGTAATAAAGCAGATGTCCAAACTTTACAGCCAATTTCTTGTGAAAGCTAATTTATGCATCTCCATTCTGGGTAGGTTATCCCATATTACCAAATATTATCCCATTCTTGTGAATTGTGTTGTAATATATATTTTTATTTATTAATTTATCCATATTTGTCCTGGGACCTCTGGGAACTTTATCGGATAGAAAAGGACGCCAAAAAAACTTCATTAATATCAGTATCGGGAACGATCCTGAGTACATTAAACTTATTATTAATTTGGAAGTTTTTTGACAAAGTAGGAGAGAATGGCTCTCTTAATTGGGTTATTTATAGATGGAATAACAGAGTGATTTTATGCTTACTCCTCCAACCCAAAGGTAATTTCTGTAAACAATATTCAAAGATTTTCTAATTGTTTATTTCAATTTCATATATTTTTCACATATATTTCACACATATATATATATATATTGTTAACTGGGAGCATTAATAATGTTAATAGAAGTGTAATGTTTGGTTGGATCCAAAGGAGCAATGTTTGCAAGGTTTTCTACGATAGGAGGATTAATAGTGAAAACTACAAATAATTTGCTTTCTGTATATTATATAACAATTTTCATATATATTGGATTATTTTTATTTTACCTTTAAATCTTACCGGAATCTTTAACTAAAGAAAAAATTATTAGCGAATTTAAAACGGCAACATCAATTATTCATCATAAACTGGACAAAATGGAAAATTATTAATTTATAGCTTGGTTGGATTTACAGCATGTTCCGACCCTTAGCATTATTTTTACTCATTAATAAATCATAACAAAAATGTAGTTAATGATAATAATAAAATTCTATTTTCTGCTACAAAATATTCATTTTCATTATTAGCTATTATCATCATCTATATGTATTAATATACAACATTAGTATTCAATTGGACAATAGTAAAACAAGAATATTTTGTATTTGTAATGAATGAATCAAAAGTATGTGTTCTATTTATTATCTATCCTTTGATAGTAAAATTCAAACCAAAAATTCTAGCATTAATTTCGAAATCGAAAAAATAAAATATAAAATTGATGACAATAATCAAAAAATCAAAAATAGAACCAATAATAATCAGAAAGAATAATCCAATTGTTTCTAAGGATTATAATAACAAGAATGATGAAATTATTATTGAAGAGATTGAGATTAAGAATAATGAAGGTGGTCAAGAGATTGAGAATAATGAAGATGATCAAGAGATTGAGAATAATGAAGATGATCAAGAGATTGAGAATAATGAAGATGGTCAAGATGAGGAGGGATAAATGAAAAAAGAATCTATATTTGAGGTTTGGGCCATTAGATTAATATTTTTGACCGATGCCATATCACACGTCGCTAGCAAAATCTACTTTAACATTTTATGACGGTAATTAATAATTTTATTTATTTTCTTGATTTTTCTCCCAAGTTTGTTTGTCCAATTTCCATTAGGAGGAATAAGTGTTATTGACTCCATTCTTCGTTTGATTGATAATTTATATTCTGTTAGTTAAAATTGTATAGCTGTATCGTTATTTTTTTTGGGGGGGGGGTTCGTTTCTTTTGGCATAAATCCTTCCTCTCAAAAATCTAAATATTGACTAAATTATGATTTGTTAATTATATTATTTGAAAATTATATTATATTTTATATTTTTATTTTTTTTTCTATAATTTAAATGACTTAAGAAATTAATTTTCAAATATAAAAATATATATTAATGTTTATAATTAAATTAAATTGGTATTACAATATCCTCATTCAATTCACCAAATTTAAACTTAAATTGATGACATTTTTCAATTGAAAAATTTTCATGAGCTAAAGTTTTCTCTACAAATACTACATTATTATTATAGTCAACTAGAACTATAGTATTAGTTCTAGTAGCATAAGGTGAACCTTTTGAATCATGTATTGGTACATTTATTGTTTCATCTGTTAATAGTTCTGGTCCAAGAGGTACAGTAATGCTAATTAAAAATTTATTATTTGTTAGTTTTAAACAATTAAAAGAATTAAAGAAAAAGAATTATAATAAATTACCTGAGCATTTTTAATAATCTGTCAATAAATTCTTCCTCACTTAAATCAACTCCTTTAACTATTGATTTGAATTTAGATACTCCTATTTTCACTTTGGGCCAAGGATCTTCCAACAAAGAATTTGATAATCCATAAAATTCTTTAGGAGGTATTTGTTGAATATCAATTTCTAGTTTTTTATTAGATAAATAAAATATTTTAGGATGTTCTAAATTTAAATCTGAACATATCAAGTTGAAACCACCATATTTATGTGCATTTTCCTTAATTAAATTTAATTGTTGTTCAATTGTAAGGTCGGATTTTAATATTTCTTTTGTAATAATTCCTCGAGATAAAAAATGTTTAGAAGGATCACAATTAGGATCTCGATAATTCGTAATTACAGCAAATCTTCCTGAACGGTTTATACCAAGCCATGTTCCTCTTTCAGGACTTTGTAAATCTAAACCACTTAAGATATTTGGGTGCCACCAGGAAGCAAGTAAAGTTGGTCTATTAAGGACTTCATCCCTATTTGTTGCTAAGATGCTAATCGAGAATAATCAAGAATAAAAAAAAAAAAATTAGTAAATCAAAAAAAAAATATGTAATGTATAACAATTTAAATTATTTATACTACAATTTATATTTAGGGTGGTTTTCTGTAGTCCAAAACAGGATGCACATAATAATTTTATTGGATGATAAAACAAAACAAGAAACAAGAATTGATATTATTTAATAATATGTTCCATTACTTTGAGTAGTAACTTCATTATATGTAATTATATGTGTACAAAAAAAAAATTATTAGCCTCACAATCCAATCAAACAACAAACAAATATAATACTAAAACCTTTTTTTTTTTATTTTAGTTCAAGTTAATCTTTATTTTACCCCAAAAAAAATTATCAGATTTATTAAATTCGGGCTTATTCATTGATGTTAAAAAATTTATATATATGCTCTCATTTTTGAATATCTTACCAATTTTTCCTTTTTTTTTTTTTCTTTCTTGAAATAAACAATAAAAAATATATTTATTGTTGGCATTTTTAACATTTTAATGATTCTTTTGTCTTCTTCTCATTATTATTATTATATTTCTCTTTATTATTAAAAAAATTTATCAAATCCTTTCTTTGTGTATTTTATTTTTGCCTTGATGGCTGCTTTCTCCGTTCCTCAACCTGTTAAAGTTGAACCCGGAAAAAAAACGAGACAAAAAAAATGGAACATTCGAGATGATCCTATTACATGGCAAAATTGGTATAAACATATTAATTGGCTTCACACACCAGTTCTTATTTCTACACCGATTATTGCAATCTATGGATTTTACACAACTAAACTTCAGCTCTACACTGCAATATGGGCTATCGCATATTATTTTATAACTGGATTAGGCATTACTGCAGGTTCGTTTACAATCTGTATTATTTACTTTAATATGGTGAAAATTATAAGTAAAATTATTTAAATTATTTATTCGTTTCATCATTGAGAACGAAAAAACAAATTTGTACTACTATCTTTATCTCTAAATTATCTCGACGATCCATGTGTATCATTTACAGTCAAAATTTCCTTTTTAATAACAATGATTTTTATTGGTCAATTTCTCATCTTCATTTATTGGTCAATTTCTCATCTTCATTATCCATTAGGTTATCATAGATTATGGGCCCATCGTGCGTATAAAGCATCACGCCCCTTTGAAATTTTCTTAATATTTGCTGCTTCAGGTGCAGTAGAAGGTTCAATTCGATGGTGGTGCAGAGATCATCGATCGCATCATCGATGGACTGATACAGATTCCGATCCATATAACGCACATAAAGGACTTTTTTATTCACATTTGGGTTGGATGTTATTAAAACAAAATCCTAATACTACGGGTCGAGCCGATATTTCAGATCTTAGTGCTGATCCACTAATAATGCTTCAAAGTAGATATTATGGGGTATTTGCGATAGTTATGGGATTCATTTTTCCAACGGCAGTTGCTGGTTTCGGATGGAATGATTGGAAGGTTATTATGGATATATTATAATATTTTTATTATGAACATTTTCTTATTGATTTTTATTAATATTTTTGATTATCATTATTAATATTTAAATTATCATTCTTAATATTCAATTAGGGAGGATTCTATTTTGCTACCATATGTCGTTTGGTTTTCGTTCATCATGCAACATTTTGTGTTAATTCTTTGGCTCATTATTTGGGTGATACTCCATTTGACGATAGGCATACTCCACGTGATCATTTCATAACCGCATTTTTTAGTTTAGGCGAAGGTTATCATAACTTTCATCACGAATTTCCCGGAGATTATCGTAATGCCATAAGATTTTATCAATATGATCCAACTAAATGGTTAATTAAAACTTTATCTTATTTCGGTATAGTGCATCATTTAAAAACATTTCCGGAAAATGAAATAAAAAAAGGTCAAATAATAATGTGCCAAAAAAAATTAGATTATGAAAAAAAAACGATAGATTGGGGTAAACCATTAGATCAATTACCTATATACACATATGAAGAATGTAAGTTTTTAATATTTTATTAATATTTATACATTTAATTATATTCACTTATTTTAATTTATCTTTTATTTTATTTTTTATTTTTATTTTTATTTTTATTTTTTTTATCTCAAATTCAGACGAGAAAAATGCTAAAAGTAACAATTGGATTTGTATTGAAGGAATCATTCATGATATTACTGATTTCATGGAAGATCATCCTGGTGGTAAAGCAATTCTTATTGCTTCCCGAGGAGAAGACATGACAAATGCTTTTAATGGAGGAGTTTATGATCATTCAAATGCTGCCAGAAATTTATTGTCTTCATTCCGTATTGGTGTTATATCGGGTGGTGGTGAAGTTATGAGTCGTAAGATTAATCAAAACAAAATGAATTAATAAATAGAATGAATAAATTATATAAATAATAAAAAATCAATTCATATTTATTCTTTTTCTTATGAAAAACCTCTTTCGTCAAACTAAATAAATAATTGTACAACAAGTATTACGTAGAACTGATATAATAATCGAACAAATGTCATTAATGTCACGTGTATGAAAATTATATTAATTATATAATAAAAGTATCTGAAAATTTATTTTTTATCAGTTTTAATTAATTTTTATTAATTAAAATATCGTAATAATGTCTCACTACAACCCAAATCAACCTTATGGACGTCCACCTCAAGGTCAAGGATATGGAACGCCTCAACAATATGGTCAACAACAACCTGGTCAACCACCATATGGTCAACAACAGTATAGTCAACAACAACAACAACAGTATAGTCAACAATATCAACCTCAACAGAGTAAGTTTTTTTAAGATGAGTGTAAATAATTTCTCTAATATTTCTGATATTTCTGATATTTCTGATATTAAAATAAAAAATTAATATAATAAATAGACCGACCACCACTACAAATGGCGCCACAAAGTGGACCACCACCTCAAGTACCACCAGGTGCCGACTCTCAATTATGGTTTTGGTTTCAAGCGGTTGATACTGATAGAAGTGGAGCTTTAACCACTGAAGAATTACAAAAAGCTTTGATTAATGGTAAATATATTTAAAGAAATTATTAATAAAAGAAAAATAATAATTTGTCTAAAGAAGTTAATAAAGAATGTAAATTATTTTAATATATAGGTGATTGGAGTCCATTTAACATTGAAACGGTACGATTAATGATGAATATGTTTGATACAGGTGTGATTTTTTTAATTATGTATATATTTTATGTATTTCTATATTTACATATATATCATTCGAGAATGAAATGAAAATTAAATTATATAATCTAATTTTATTTTTTTTATTTTTTTATTCAATAAAGATAACACTGGGACAATTACTTTTCAAGAATTTGCTGGTCTTTGGAGATATATTGAAGATTGGAAAAAGTGTTTTACAACTTTTGATGCGGATGGATCTGGTACTATTAATTTCGGAGAATTGAAAAATGCCATGAAAACTTTTGGATATAATTTAAGTGATAATTTCATTAATCTTCTTATTAAAAAATATGATAAATATGGTAAGTCTTCGTTTTTTATGTTTTTTTATTTTTATTTTTATTTTTTTTTTTTATTTTTATCTTTTTTGCCGTCCGTGTCGAAACCCAATCCCAATATAAATCATGTTGAATTATTAACTGATTTAAAGCGGGCAATAAAACAGGAAAGGGAGATGTGACCTTTGACAATTTTGTGGTAAGCATAAAGAATAGATTTATAAATGATTTATAATGAATTACAATTAAATATAATGAAATATAATTAACGAATTTAAAAAATTAATTATTTTTTATAGCAATCTTGTGTGACTGTTAAGACTCTTACAGACTCCTTCCGACGTTATGATACTGATAACGATGGATGGATCCTAATTAATTATGAGCAGGTAATTTAAATATTTATTGAAAATTTTGATGAATTCAATGTAATTCTTTTTTATTTTTGTCACTAATACATTTTAATTCTTTTTATCATTTTAATAATTTATATTCTTTATTATTTTTATTTTATTTTTTTTATCTTTTATTATATTTCTTTAACTTAGTTCTTGGAACTAGTAGTTAATAATCGGTAAAGTGAACGTATATTGGGTTGTTAGTCAGATTAAATAATATTTATTGAGGTTTTCGCGGCTTTTTTGGAGAGGGAGAGGGAGAGGATCGTTCCTCCATTATTTTGATTATTTTTATTATCATGTTATTTTATTTTATTTTCATTATTATAAATATAATTTCATTATTCGGAATTTAAAAAAGAGTTTTTTCTTTTGCTGTCAAATTGGCCTATGTCACGTGCTAATTTAATTTAATTTAATTTAATTTAATTTAATTTAATTTAATGTGATCGACTCTGCATAATCATCCTGAAAGTTGCGCCATTTTGTCATACTAGTTATACATCATATAATTTGTGATCTACATCTTACATGCTTAACTAATTACGTGGTAAAGTCTGCACCTATACCAAAATGTATTAAATATTTATGTATATGAGTTTAATCTAATATCTAATAGATTTAGATCTACCTTAATTAGATAATGATAAAAATAAATAGATAATAAATTAGATAAAATTCAAAACATCTATTGAATAATTTATAATAATAAGAGAAAACCAAATAATTATAATTATAGGAAGATATGGCTGCCGAATCTAAAATAGAATTGCAACCTCCCCTTTCACCTTTTGGTAATGCTGTTGCTGGTTCATTAGGAGCATTAATTGCTTTATTCATAACTTATCCTTTAGATATGTAAGTTTTTCTATTCTATATATATGTATACTTTATCTAACAATTTATTATTCAAAAAACTTTATTTTTAAGATTTTAATAATTTATAAATACGATTTTATAATTATATATAATTATATGCTTTTATCTAGCACAAAAACACGGCTTCAAGTACAATCTAAAAGCGATTCGTCAAAAATTGCAAAAAACGAATATTATCATTCGACAAAAGATGCATTATATAAAATTATATCTTCTGAAGGAATATCTGGTCTTTACGCAGGATTACCTGCTGGACTTATAGGAGTTGCTTCCACAAATTTTGCCTATTTTTATTGGTATTCTTTAATTCGTTCTTATTATCAAAACAAAAGGTCATCATCATCATTATCCACTACCACTGAACTTATTCTAGGTGCTTTTGCAGGAGCTCTTGCTCAAATATTTACTATTCCTGTATCAGTTATTACCACAAGACAACAAACTACTAAAAGTCATGATCGTAAAGATCTTATAGGTACAACGAAGGAAATTATTTCTGAAGACGGAATTACAGGATTATGGAAAGGACTTAAACCATCTTTAATATTATGTGTAAATCCTGCCATTACTTATGGTGCTTTTGAAAGATTTAAAGATATATTAATAAAAAGGAATAATAATAATAATCTTTCCCCAGGAACTGTATTCTTTTTAGGAGCTCTTAGTAAAACCATTGCTACAATATTTACTTATCCTTATATTATGGCAAAAGTTAGGTTACAATGGAAACCACCAAAATCTGATTTAAAAGATGGAATTGATTTTGAAGAATGTGAAGAAGATTCTTCAAATTTTAAAAGAAATATAAAATATAAAGGAGCGATTGATGTTTTGAGAAAAGTTCTAGCAACAGATGGAGTTCAAGGATGGTACAAGGTAATCAAGTTATTTAAATTTTAAATTTATTGAATTTATTCAAATCATTCATTTAAATTTATTTTATTTTATTTTTTTTAATTTTTTTTTTTTTTGAAGGGAATGCAAGCACAAATTACAAAAGCTGTACTCTCTCAAGCATTACTTTTTTACATGAAAGAATATACCACTCGATATACAATTTTTATTTTTGTCTTATTTGCACGTCTCTCAGCTGCTCGACGTCAAATTTAATTTAAATATAAACAGAGTTGATATTTATTGTAATTTTATTATTACTTTATATTATATTATTATTATTTTAACTTCAAAAACACTTTTGATCTACAAAATCTAACAAAGATTATATAAAAATGTCATGTGATATAATTTACACTATTAAAACTAATTCTAAATTTACAAAAAAAAATTAAAATCAATTTCTCTTAACTTATTATTATAATTTAAGAAATTCAGTCCTTATTTTCCTTCTATTAAAAAAAAACAGATTGTACAGTAATTAAATGATAATAATAATATTAATAAGATCTACATATGACCTTGATTTATGTAAATTATGATTAAATAATTAATTTCTTTTATTATCCACCCACCTATTCTTTTTATATATTATATATATATATATTTATTATTTTATTAATTTTACACTTAATTCAATTCAGCCAACAATTAACCATCACCGATTCATCATCAAACAAAATTTTTCTTGTTAAAAAAAAAAATTTCCAATTGAATTATTATTATTATTATTTATTCTTTCATCATATGTAAAGAAGAAGATTTAAAATAATTAATTATTCTGATCTGATTTCATCATTATATGGCCATAGATCTTCGATATCTTGAATGTGGCAATAAAGTTCTTCCAGCTTCAAAAACTGCATATTTACGTGATATTTTTGCTCGCTTTGATTGACTAACCACCATAGGAATTGGAACTACTTCACATATAAAACTAATCACATCAAAAGCTAAATAAATTATTACAGGTCGAGATTGTTGTGGGAAAAACCATAAAATTGCTGTAGAGAAGAATATAGAGAGAGAAAATATAAAAAACTTATGATAAAGAAAGAAAATTTATTATTTATTTACTTACCACAAATACCATATTGTATAAAACTCCCTATATTCCAAAATGTGAGAACTATTAACAATTTTCCTGGAGGACAAATCAATTCTTTGTTTCCTTCATATATATACCACTCATAAGCTTTGCTCACTCGTTTTTGTGCCTCTTTAATATTTGAAGGATATTCTTGTTGTCCAAGTTGTAATGATGATGATGAATTCATTTTACGACTTGCTCTATATATTTTAATGGCTCTTGAGAAATTAGCTAATCTTTTTGGATGTGCAAATATAGTAAAAAGTGTAAATTCTATATTTACGATCTGTATATGGAATTAAATTTAATTAAAATAATTTTATCTTTATAAACACGCACCCTTCAGAAATTAACAAGAGGACTTGCCTGTAATAGGCATTCTACCCAAAATTCTTTCTCTATCATTGTAAAAATATGAATTACATCAATTACGATAAGAATATATAAAGTTAATGCAAGTGCAAGACGAAAATATGTGAGAGTATCAAATATTCTTTTGCTATGATTAAAAATTGTTTGACAGGCCGTTGGACATCCTTTCTCACATAAATCAAGTGCTTCAGAGTTGGTGAAATTCTTGTTGGATTTGAAAGTAACATCTGGTGTCGATTTACTTCGTGCTGGTGATTTCTCGTAATATTTTTTTGAGGGTCCAATTCCACCTTTATTTTCTGAAGTATAAACCGAGTTACGTACGTAAGTTGACATTTATATACTAATTATATTTTTGTTATACATATGAGCTCGCGTTTCCGTTGGATGCACGATAATATGTCAATTCAATTAATAATATAATTATTATTATTTTTATTATTGTTTTTTGAATTAAATTTATTAACGAATGGGTTTACAGAATAACTAGATAAAAACAAATTAAAATTATTATTATATCATTTCAAGATTATACACGCGAAAGAAAAAAGTATTTACATTCAAATATAAACAACCGTGTACAAAAAAAAAAAAAAAAATTGGTCAAAAGCCTCAAATTAACGGGAGGCTTTCTTTTAATTATCCAAATAAACAAATATAATGATAAATCTTTAAAAATAAATAAATAAAAATAAATCTTTAAATAATTTTTTTTACATAATATGTGGCTACAATAAAAGAGATTCACGCCTTTTATAGATTTGTTTAAATCTCTGACCTAACTATCATCATAAAGAAAAAACAAGTTATAACTGGGCGAAGCCAGAAAGCACAGTTTCGGTTATTGCTCAGCAAAACTAACAAGAATTTGCCGAGCCAGAATAGCAACAGAGTAGCAGAATGATAATTAAATAAAAATGTACAATATGAGTGTTCATGTTTAATTAATTGTTTAAAAATTGTTAGTATTTTTTTTTCGTCACGGATCGAACCTGTTGAAATTGTTAGAAATCGATCTTTAAATACTGTATTGTAATAAATTTTTGAACAGGAAAATATAGTTTTACCAGATCGTCTAAATTTAATGATGCCATAATTCTTTGATAACCTACAAAAATGTTGTTTCATTCTCGAAACTATAAATGCATCGGTATCGGGAAATTTAAATAAGATGCACCAATCAGGATGTTATAAATCATACTGTTTATTTTTTCACTTCTTCATCCTCCGCTTTTCCAACATATTTTCTTATTTTTTTTTATCAATGATATGGACGCGAGAAAATTCTATGATAACCACCGAGATATGGTGATTTATGTAATATTTGTATTATTTTTTAGTCACTCTTTTTTTTTAATATCCAATTATTCTTTAATGCTCTTCCTAGTTCTTCCCTCTTGTTATAAGCAAATAATGCAAGTAATATAATAATACAAAATAATACAAAATAATAAAAGATACAGAAAACACTTAAATATATAAATTTTTTTTCTTTTTAATGGAATAGATAACTGTGTAATTGTGGAAATAATGGTAATAATAATATTGTTAATACATAGTATGATTTTTTTTATACAAACATCATTTTTGAATTAAATAATAACAATAATAATAATAATGATGATTTAATAATAGTGATAATAATAATAAAATAAATATTTTTCTAAATATAAAAAAATATTTCCATTTACTTTAAGAACAATTTTCATAATATATCTACTTTAAAATATTACTTACCTCTTAAGTAATATTAAAATTCCTTACACTAAGGTGTAATACTAATACAATATTTATGATGAATTACAAAAATACATATATAAAACAAAAAAATAAAATAAAATAAATAAATTTCTATACAAAAAGTGTGATTCCAAATATAAATATTAATATATATATTTTTTTTTCTACAAATGAAATACAATAATAAACAATGATAATATGCCAAATAGAAAAATTAAAAATGAATTCTTTTTTTTTTACCAACAATTAGAAAAATCTGATAATATTGACAATGAACGCTACGAAATATTTGAATTAACAACATTAGGTATATAATCGCCGTTAACCTTAGATTCTGTTGATATGCTTTTTTTTTTCATTATCATTCATTTTCTCTTTGGTATTTTTCACGCATTGAATATCTAATATTAGTTCCCCATCACCAAGTGTTTCCTCAACCATTACAAATGTTAATCCTGATGCCGATAATTGAGGTATCTCATCTTCAAGATCATTACTAATATCTGATGTTATAGAAAAGAAGGTGGTGTCTGAACTAGATACACTTCCTTCGGTTTTTTGTGATCGTCGACGAGATGCTTCTAATTCATCAGCATAATCTGGGTCAAGGTCATCATCATCTGGAAATTCAATTGCATTTTCTGGGGTAGATGATAAAGGTATATTGTTTATTATAGGTGCATCATTATGAACAGCTGAAGTTGATGAAGTTGATGTTGATGAAGTTGATGTTGGTAAAGTTGATGCTGTGGGTATTGGAGGTAATGGCATATTTGGTGGACTGGTCGGAGGTGTTAAAGGTACTGCGACAAATGGTAAAGTTTGAAAACTAGTATGTTTGGGATATACCATATTTTGGGTTTTTGAACGAATTGTAGATCTAGCATATGACGACGGTATTTGTGATGGAACATTTTGTATGTTCATTATTTTAACTTGTGTCATCGTAGAAACATTTGAACCTTCGTTATTGTATCCATCATTTGAAGGTCGACGAATTCTTGGTGGTGGTATCGGTGGTATTGGTGGTCTAATATTTTGACGTCTTGGTATTATCATTGGTGGCCTAGGAGGTGGTACGGGTGGTAAAGGTATATTTGGTGGATTGGGTGGTGGACTAAGTCTACTAATTCGTGGATCTGGTATAACTGACAATCTTAAAGGTTTCTGATTTTTTGATATCGTTGTAGTTGGTAAAGGCATTGTTTTTTGTCTAGGAGGTGGTCGTGGTGGTGAACGAATTGGTGGTGGTGGTAGTGGTGTAAATGCGTTTGATGAATTTTGCGACAAAGCTATAACTGATGATGGCATTAATATAGGTATACTTTGTCGATTAGAAATTCTTTTATCTGATGTTCGTTTGGTTGGTGAATTACGATAACTATTGGCTGGTGAAGGTTGTGATTTATAAGATTGCACATCAGTATAAATGGATAACCCTGAATTAATTGAATTCATTCTTTCTTTACTATGTGATAATTTTTGTGTTTCGTCTCGTTTAGATACATAATTAGATTCTCCATCTATTATCATTGACATATTTTGTCCATATCGTGTTCTTGGTGGAGATAAAGTTTCAACTGGTGATGAAGGACGTCGTTGTAATTTCATTTTAATTGGACCTGAATGTTTTTCAACTTCAGGTATTGGAATGAGAGTTGGTGAGGGAGGACCTGAATCAGTTGGTGAAGATTTTGTTCGAGGTGGTGGTGGTAAAGAAGTCATCATTGATGGTCTTGGTGGTGGTGATAGAGAAAATTTATCATCTTCATTAATGTTATCTGGTGGATCCATAATAAAAAGTTCAGGAGATGCTGTTTTCGGCGTCATTTTCTTTGTCATTAAATCTTCATCCTCGATTATCATTTTAGGAAGACTTGATGATACTTCTGTTGATTCTTGAGAATTATATTTACATTTCGCTACTGTACCCTTTAATTCTTTCATCCACTTTTTCATTTCATCTAAAGTATCTGACTGTAGAAACCAAGGTTTTGCTCCTTTGCTTACTTCTAATACCCAAGGTTTTCCAGTA